AGCTTCGCGTTCCACTTAATTTCTTCGCTTTTACTCGTGGACGAACAGTAGCGGTTCGTACCAAAAATTAGTGCGAGGGTGCTGCTCCAGAAAAATTTTAGCCTTTGTTTCATAAATAATTATTATGTAAAGGGAAAATAAACATCAAACATACGCGAAGCTAAAAAAGACTTCCTTCCTTCCACCAGTGCGCCAGGATCGGAGCTGCAGGAGCGACAGCGCCGTTGGAACTGCGAAACGTGCAGTTCCGTACAAATTTTATTTTTATTTTAATTTGGGTGGATGGCTACTTGTATTAAGCTTCGCGTTCCACTTAATTTCTTCGCTTTTACTCGTGGACGAACAGTAGCGGTTCGTACCAAAAATTAGTGCGAGGGTGCTGCTCCAGAAAAATTTTAGCCTTTGTTTCATAAATAATTATTATGTAAAGGGAAAATAAACATCAAACATACGCGAAGCTAAAAAAGACTTCCTTCCTTCCACCAGTGCGCCAGGATCGGAGCTGCAGGAGCGACAGCGCCGTTGGAACTGCGAAACGTGCAGTTCCGTACAAATTTTATTTTTATTTTAATTTGGGTGGATGGCTACTTGTATTAAGCTTAAGGGTTAAAAAGATATAGATTATATCAAGTAGAAATAGGGAGTGCTGCAGTTCAACAGTGCCTATATACGCTTACGAGGGGATAATCGAGATTCACAGCGTGTCTTTGCATATATTGTAGAATTTTTGGCTTTCTAATTTTTCAGAAGATTTACCTACTTTGTGAAAACTACATGCGGTATGCATTGTACATAGCGCACAATTAATCGCGATTCCATGCCCCGCCGAGCGTGTAAACAAAATTTAGATTACATGTATGTACATGTCTACATGCCAGCCATCCCCTTAGATAAATTATTAAGTTACTGTTTACGGAAAGACTTACTGCAGATAACGAGGTAACAGAGATTAGGACCGTCGAGCTATTTCTTTATAATTAAAATGATCAACAAAGCAATATAATAAATGCAAATATCATAGGAAACGAGATATTAGCGAAAAATTGATTTTAGTGACTTTTGACACAATATTTGAAATGCCAAAATAAAGGTTTGTACAAATTTACAGCTTATTATCTCTCATTCCCAGGTTGATCCTCCTTTTTGACATAATTGACTGTACTAAATATCCAATACGTATATTAACTATATTTATAAAATAACAATGAAGGCTGCCAACTGTGGAACACAATCAAACTGTGTGTGAAAAGTGGGGATAAAATATATTTACAAACGTATCTAGCGTATTATGAAAGCTACGCCTGAGGTCGTACGTTTGCTAAAGATACACAATCATAAAATATTATCACTTATTTATAAATCTGCCTAAAAATATAGGAACGAAAATAATCCCAGTTTTATTTAATTTAATTTACGAGAACAAGACAACAAATAAATGGCAGATTAGGAGATAAAGCAACGATTTTCTTGACACTTTTTAAAATTATGACGACCGCTTTAACATATTTTATAAGAAACAGATGCTTAACAAAATATGCAAACAAATATACATATAGTTAGACACAAATTAGCAGAAATTAGTCGTAAGTCAAAAATTAGCCACTATCTGGGAAACTCGAAAATCAGTTTCATTTGAAGTTAACATGTAAAAACTATTAGATCGATTAGGAACAGCACTCATAATTAGCCACTAACTAACCGCTACAATTAAGGCGTCTTTTTNATACCTTTTTAAATAAAAAAATAAAATAAAATTAAAAAAATAAAAAAACAAGATTTTTCCTGCATTTTCCGAGTATATGTTGTGTTTTCCCCGAATAACACCTATAATCTTTATGAGTATTAGATGCTACTTTTATAACAGTTACATAAAAAAATTAGTAGATAGGTACATATTTTTATATTTCTTGGAATTATGTGATTAACTTGGACCAAACAGATGCGGCAAATCTGTATTTTTATGAAATAAAAAAATGGTATATTTCAGTCAACAGTGTGACGTCGGGTCGGCGTCGCGTAGAGTTTTTAATTAAAACTCCCGCCTGCTGTCACAATATCGCGCGCAGTGGAAATAAAAAAATTGCACTTGGTCGAGTTTCCACCGCGGCTGGCACACGTCCAGGTCTTGAGAAAACATCTGTTTCCTCCTCGAGGAGGCTGCTCGACCTTATCACTTACGATTAGGTGCGTAAAATTATCACGTCCATTTCGTCGACCAACTAAAAAAAAGTAACGAAGTACCTACTCCGTTCCGATCTGACACAGTACATCGTAAACGTATTCACGCTAATAGGAAAATAAAAGAATATTTATATTTCTGAACTGGTACGCACGAAGCAGTTCTGTGCACTACTTCGAAAGCCCGCACCCTTTTTGCTAGCTAGCCCTTTATTTGATCACGAACCATCACCGATTATTTGTCATCGACATAGTCTTCAACTAAACAAATCAATTATTTGTATAGAAATTAGTTAATAATTTTGGATCTTCAAAATTGAATTTTATTCTGATACACAATTATGAAAATCAACCAAGCAATCCTTTCTTTATTTACATTCGAAGGGAAAAATCAACCCCCGGTTGAACACTGTTTAATTTATTATTTATACTAAACAGTATCTAACTGATTTTCAATTCGATTCGGTTGTCCTAAATACGCTATTTTTGATGCATTATACACACCTTTCAAAGACCCTATGTGCTGCCCAACGAATTATCCCAAGGTCACCTTCGACCTCACTTTTGGCTAATCAATGCTCCAGAATACAAATACGTAGTAAATACATACTCCGAATTTCATAAAACACAAATGAAGAAACAGATTTCTTCACGGAAATCCTCTATTAGGCAAAACATTTGAGATAGCTGAATTAGAAAAATTACAAAGGAGCGCATATTATTAGTAATAAATTAAAAACGAAGTTAAAATAATTTGCAAACGATTATGCAGTATTGTCTCTCTTATAGAACAGGACAAAACAACTAAAAATAGTAAGTTTGAAGTATCTTAACCTTAAAATCTTAACGTTAAAATCATACTATGCTAATTTGGCTCATTTTAAGGATGCGTTGAATTAGTTCTTAGACCAGATTCGGATTTAGAATCAGAAAATACATCCATGATGTCTATAACGTGATCGAGGATTACCTTGGAAAAGTTTTGTCAACCCTAGGTCAAGGTTCATGAAATTCTGAACTACCTCTACATAGTCTGGCCTAAACTTTTACCGCAAAGTAGTTTTTAGCAAATGCTTAACACGTAATTAAAATGTGCAGGTGTAAGTATGCAATTAAATTTACATGAAATGTCAACTTAATTAACAGCTAAATAAAAGCGACTAAAGTATAAAAATGTTGCCTAATTGGTATTAACGTAAAAAGTTCTTAAAGTGGATGTGAACAGATACAGCCGAGAGCATAGGAAAATATTTAAAAATTCAAATAAATTACAATTCCAGTTAAACCATAAATAATTTGTAGCTACTTATGGTACCAACCAGTACCAAAGAGTAATAACACGAAAATATAAAATCTCTTAAGCCCTTCCTGCCATTAACGACTGTCAGATAGTAGGTTTTTTCAAGTAGTATTACCTATTTTTTATTAGGAAAGTTTTGATGGCTTTTATCATAAAATAGTTTTGTCAGACTTAAATAGAACCCCGTTGAATAGCTAATAAAGCACAGGCAGACATAAAGCTTTGTACACGCAAATTATGCGAATAGGTAGGTATTATTATTTTTACGCTTTATTCCTAATAAACGTGTTATAGCATCGCAAACATAATTTTCCAGAAACAATACGCACACGTGCAATCAAATTTAAAAATCAATATTGCAATAAAAAGAATAATACAAACTTTACGTCACTTTATCATATGAAAATTAAAAGGCGATGAAGATATTGATCTGCGTTCCCATTATTTCCCGATAAAAATTACAGTATTGTCGCGTTTAGGCAATCCGCCATACGCGAAAACGCATACAGTGGGTTGCCTAAATCGCGTTAGTAACAAGGCAGATCAGAATCTCTAAACCCCATATTCTAGAATCTTTCTAGAACAAGTCGAGCCGCTATACAAATAGCTACCGCAAAGTCGAAAGAAAAATTTCGAAACATGAGGTAACCGAACCATCTCAAACTTTTTGGGCTTCCCGTAAGGTGCTGGATTTGTACTAGAAAGACTAACATTTAAAATGCAAATACAAAATAAAAAGCACCTATTTTTAACTTATCTATAAATTCATAGGAAAAAAAAACGATTCAAAATACTTCACTTATTAAATGAACCCAAAGCTAAAGAAACTATGTATTCCATTTCATTCTCTTATTACAATGTGTAAAAGAAAATGGGGTTGTAAATATTTTGATATAAAATGATTGATGTTGATTGTACATNCCGAACCATCTCAAACTTTTTGGGCTTCCCGTAAGGTGCTGGATTTGTACTAGAAAGATTCCAGAATATAGGATTTAGAGACTCCAGACTTCCTTGTGACTAACGCGATCTAGGCTACGCACTATTATGAATAAATCCTGCTAGTTCCTTATGGAAAATGGTTCTCTTCCAAACTCTTTGAAACTTTGGATTCGGGTAGTTTTCGGCATCTAGATTAAACGTCTCAATGTCGTACAGATTCATTTTTTGGAGATATGGTAGATTAAAATTCCATTTATCAGTAAGGACTTCCAAGGTACAGTTATACCTATTAGATGTATACTTGAACGTATTCAATTCGTATTATTGTATCTTGGAAGTCTCAACAAAGAATAAAACTATGAGACGTTTTCTCAAAAAGATGGACTACCAGAATCCAAAATTTCAAAGAGTTTGACAGAGGGCCATTTTCGGCAAGGATTTGGAGCAGTCCTTTTATAGTAAAAAAAATCGAGTCAATTGGATACCAATAATAATAGAAATGTTATGTTACAGAAACCTAAAGCAGCTTTGCTTGTCACCAATACAACATTAATTAAAAATAGTTTTAAAAATGACTCACTGATTTAATGCTCGTTCGGCGGAAGTTGGTCCAGATTCGTGGTGTCTTCGTTCTTTGTGGGTAACAATTCCCATAAGCTTCATCCAGGCATTGTGTTGCCCCCCTGGCCCCCCCATTCCACTCTGCCACATCGTCATGTTGGCAGACCATCACACTGTACCACTCACGTCGCGAAATACGATGGCTCGCGAGAACTCACTTTACATCGACGAAAAGTCACTTCGCGACAGTCCCGCGCACTCGAATCAATTGTTCGGCCGCGACGCGCACTGTAAGTCCTAAGTCTTTATGAAACATGGCAGTAATATGTATTTGTATGCAACTCTCAATACCTACGTTGTATGCCTAACTAGCATAATTTCGAAAGCGGAAAATCTAAACTCGTAGCTATACAATACGCGTAGCAAACGACCGTTAAAAATACTTTTTCGGTGACTTTTAGTTGCAATGGCGCCTTGCAATGCATTGGATTGTTTCTGAAAATAACAAATTTGTAATTAACACAATAATTAAAACTCAAGCCTGTTTTTAGAAATCGAAAGCCGTTTCAAAATAAAATAAGACAATAGCGACATTGGTTCGTGCCTTTGCCATAATAAAAGAATTGACGCTTGGTTTTCACAGTTGTAACCTTAGTAATTGGCGAATTTAACCTTAAAGTTACTAAGTAGCATTAGGTAACAAATTGTATTTAATACTTGAAATGTACTCGTAACAATAAATAGGAGCAGGAATCTGATATAAATTGAATTTAAAAAAGTAATAACTTTTATGGCTTTTACGCGAAAGAATCGCTAAAAAGAGTGAAGTTAGAGATGTAAAAGTAGAATAAAAAAGAACATTTTGAAACGAATCTCCTACAATCTATAACTTCAATAAACATCCGATATAACAGGAACAATACAATAACAAAAACCAGGCAGTCCAACTAATAAAAATTTGGTTTTATTATTTATAGATAAAGATAATCTTTCAATTTGTTGAATGATTTCGAAAAACAAAATCACCATGCGATTTATTCTATTTTTTTCCAGTAATCCCAAAAAAGCTTAAATTCCAAGGAACCCATTTTTTTTTTGAAATGTCACCACAACTCTCAATACCATCAATTATCGAATCGACCTGTTTTGAATTAATAGTTAACTAATAAAATGTAAAAATAATCATTAGCCTTTTGATAATGAATATTTAAATGTTTTCAATGTCGCTGTCATTTAATCTAGTGAACGTAAACTACAAAAAGCTCTTGTTTAATGTATTGAATTGTTTCCGGAATCAATAAGCTCGGTTACGGCGATAACTCACTTCTTGATCAACTTTGAACTTTTAACCGAACGCTGTAGATTAGAAAGGGTTGGGGATAATCAACTGACCCGATCCCAACACTCTTTTCCTGGCTATTTATGACTTGACGAACTCGATGAAGAAAATATACATGTACATGTTCGACTTTCAAACTTTAGAAGTACTTGCATCATAATTTCATGCCAAAAAATATTTATCACATTATATGTTTTTCGTTATCTAAATATACTAAAGTTGATGAAAGGAAAATAAATAAAAAATTAGCACATAAGGAAGTAGAGTTGAAGCTAATACAAAAATTTGAAATGGAAAACTTTTATGCACCTATGTATTTATATAAAATTAATCGGCAATAAAATCCATAAGATTCAGTATTCGAATTTATTTCACGTTTAGACGCCATCGCTATGCCGTTTTCTACTAGTAGATCCAATACGATTAAATTTTCAGTTGTTTCTTGAAGTGCCATAAAGCACAGCGGCCGTTTCCTCCAATGCGGTTTTCGAGAAGTTGTACGAAATTTGCGACTACTTGTACATTTGTTTCGCAGAACTTTTACGAACAAACTGGAGAAACAATTCACGTTTAAGTCGCAACGTTCCTCAAAAAATAAAAATAATTAATTCACGCAAAGGGCGCGCCGAACAATCCAACTAAAACTCTTCAGAAGGAATTTTAATGGAAAATACATACATCAAAATGTGGCGTTTGCTATAGATTCGAACATCAACAACAAATCGACATCGAAAACCCTGGATCATACACAATGAAACTGCTCGAAATAATTTTAATAATAATGATAATAATATTTTTAAGTAGAGATGAGCCGGATACCCGGCGAATCCGATACTTTCTTTAAGATCCGGCAGAGTACCGGATAATGGCGCCGAGTAACCGGCAATTCCACGTAATTCCACCGGAGAGAAAAAGATAATTTAATATATTGGGATCCGTCAAATGGGCATACACCATCTGGTGACAAAATTTATAACTCGAATGAGGGAAAAATTTACATAGGAACTGTGCACGCAAATTGTAAAATTGTTTATTAAAATAATAAAACACGTTAAAAAAGTAAAAATTTTTTTGATGATGGAGTCGACGAAGTTTTCTTCTAAAGTTAAATCAAATAAAAAGTTAATATGTTCAGTGAAAAGCTGCAATAGCACTT